AGTAACCAGATGCAGACAGTAAACATTGCTGAACAGCAGCTGGAAGTTAGTGTGTTACCAAAGTATTGGTAGGATATTCCTGTGAGACTGTTACCAAGACAACATATTACTTTCTCATAGTAAGAAGAATGATGCCATAGTGACCCCCAGCCCTGTCCAAAAAAAAAGCAATGCCTTTAAGCTAAAAGGATTTGCTGAATTGTAGGAGAGGACTGTGACTTTAATTTTCATGGTCTTGCATTCTGAATGACCACACTGTTGCATTGTTTCAAATGAGGAAAATCTGAGCTTTAGCAGTATGGGCGTCGTGGCACGACAAAGGACGACATTGTACAATGCATAGTCTAATCTGTTGTAATAGGGGCAACGTCAAATGTCAGGAAAAAATCTCATGGTTGTTGGTCTATATGTTGTGATTTGAGCTCTGGAAGAAATATGGTTTCAGCTGGAATAGGTTTGCATAAGGTTTTGAAAATTTGTTTGATGATTAGTTTAGAAACATTTGTAATGTTGTGGTTTCCAATTTTAGATTTTAGAGCTTAATATACTGATTACAAAAAGGAACAGCTACTGTGTAAGGCACTGCCTCAGGGTTTTAGTTAGTATTTAATATCACTCTTCAGTGGATTGCTTCCAGCTTGTTAGACTTTTCCATATAAAAAAAAAAAACATAGCACAAGCCATCCCATTTTGTGTTCAGTTTCAGTATGATGACACTGTATACTTGTCATACAAATCTGGGATCTGTTTTAATTAATTGTACCCTGTACTGTATTACATTGCAGTGTAATAACAGAAACAGCACCCATAATATGCCATGCAGGTATGTGTTTGGTTTGTAGCTTATAGATTCTTTACATTGAACTGAGTCTGATTGTGTGGAGTTTAGAATTAAACGTAGCAAACTGGACAAAGAAGCCACCAATGAAATTATTGACATTCCAAATAAAAGGTTTTGTCTTTGTGCAGTACTTAAGTTCTCATTTTTATATAGAAGTATGTGTATTATCTTAAAAGTTAACCTTATAAAAGATAGCTGCTGACATTTTATTAGCATTGAATTTGATTAAATCTTTGGTCTTTCCTATTTTAAATATATTGTATCCTACTGTGCCATTTTCAATTCCAAAATTTAGAAGACAGGAATGATGGAAAGCCATGTAGTTTATTTGATATCACAAGGAAGCACTTGTTGAAATCAGTTTTCAGTGCAAAGTATTCTGTGGCGAGTTCAAGTGTTATAGTTTCACTTGGAATTGCTAGAAAAACTTTTTTAAATGTATTGACATATAGGACAGTTTATTAACTTTTATGCTCCTCTTTTGTTTGTAATACCTTAAACATTCCCATCTGGGTATACGTTTTTTTGTTTTAATTCTTTCAAGACAGTGTAGCCTAATACTGCTGGGCTGGGATTTCAGTGGTCTTAAACTGAAAGTGAGTTTTAAGTTCAGAATCTGCATGGTACCAGACTGCACTCAAGGCTCTACATATAACAGAAGTAAGGGGATTACATAGCCTTTCCTAAGGAGGACCTCTTGAATTACTTTATCAACCTGACTTAAATGTTCCTTATTCTCTTACTTTATATTTACTTAAAAGTTTTATTTTTATCAGAAGTTGTTTATCATCCATTAGTTTGTGTTCACGCAGATCATCAGATACCATTTAGTGGTACAAATGTTCTGACTTAATTCAGAACCTTAGGGAAAAACATACCCCATCAACACATCATAGCTTTTAAAACACTTTTCACATGTGTTGTAGAGTACAGTATATACAAAATTTCCCATAATTTAGAACGCAAGGAAAAAAATTGTCCATTACTCTTTTAACAGAAGCATGTTCTAAACTACAGTAAAGCTCATAAAGTGTTACTACTGGAGCCCTTAAAACATTTACACGTTTGACTGTAAATAGAAGTCCTGTTTATTTAACAAAAAGCCCAAACTGGTACTGGCATGCAATAGTACCCTGTAAAACGTGAACTAAATATGTTAAAATTAAGTGGAAAATATGGTTCAACTTCCCAATTTTAAAAAAGAAACCCATTTTACAGAAACAATTTTTAAATAATTTGACTATTTTATTTTTCTGAATTGCAATTCATTACTTAATTTACCTCACCAAAATGCTTATTTTTTCTTTAGTATTCTATACCGACATTAAAGCTTAATACAGTTCAGTAATACATGTCTTTGTCTTTATATTTTACTTACAAGAAAGTGCTTCGTTGGTCAGTATTGCTTTTAGCTTTTAGGAGTTCTAGGGGGATTCAGATGGGATAATGCAAAACGACACCCTTGCAGAGTGGAAGTTGAGCTATACGTTCTACTCAAGAAGAAAATTGCTTTTTTGGTTACTAGAAGCTATATGATTTGAGGACTTTATCCTGCCATTTCTTGAATGAAGGATATAACAGCAAGGATAGACAGCTTGCTATTGACTTCCACCATTCCTTGTGTAAACTGTGTGCTTGCACTGTTGTAAGCAAGGAACATATCACTGTTATTAGTGATAATCCGTTTAACACTGTGTAAAAAATGGTAGATGGCTCTGACAGTGTGTGCATTTTGGAAGACAGTGTTTACAGTCCTCGTTCTTCCTGTGGTGCAGCACTGGTTGGTGGTTGTAACATCACAATGATTAACATTTGGTGATTAATGGGGGTGAAGGTATGAAAAAAAACAATGGTAAATCCAGATTAAAGAAAAAACAAGTTTGTATAGCCTTTTGAATATGTTGAATGTCATTAACTATGATGTGTAATGTCCTTTGGGAAAATATTCATCTTTCATTGTTGTGATAGTTTTATAAATTGTCAGGGTGCAGGTCAAAATTTTGAAAATAGCACTTTTATTGTGATTCACCTGCATAAAAATGCACAACACTCACTGCATATTTTATTTGTATGTCGTACAAGGTGATTCACATCATTGAATAAGAAGTTTTAAATTGGATTACAAAAATATTTTAACTAATTCTTTCTAAAATGTGTTTTTAGCTAAGACGTTTTCAATTAGTTTTTCAATCTCTTCTTTTTTTTCTTTTCCGATTTTTTTAAAATATGATGACTTATGTAATGTACAATGGAACTTTTTCTGTTTTTTTTCTGTCTTTGGAAAAGTCTTATTTTTTCCTCTTCATCCAAGTCTTGGTAATAGTGCCAAGCTCTGTAGGATTCTAACCTCAAACATGCAAATTCAAAATTAATTTTAAAAGTACTTAAATTCACTTTATTTATTTTTATTAAATGAAAGAATTAGATGAAAGTAGTAAAAAAAATCCATTATTAGTATACAGCTTTTAGGTTTATACAGCAGGCCTATTTTAAAGTGAAAATTATTCATTAGACTCTGCTGCTCATATTGTATAATTCAAAAAAGTTAAATGTTAAACCAGTTTCAAATGCTCACTCAGGAAGTGTCCATTACACTACAGTGAAAAGAAGAATTAGTTTAATTGTTAAGTTATTTATTATTATTATTGTTTTAAAATATATTTTATTCTAAGTAATATGCTCCTAATTTATTACTTCTAAACAGTAAGGCTTTGTAAGGTCACTGTTATGCTTAATTTCAGATAACCTGCTAAAATGATCATAAACATCTGATTCTATCTCCAATGCTGAACCGACGATTGCAAATGCCCACTAATTAACCTCCTAATACCCCTGTTTAGAAATTTAAGAAATATGCTCTTAGATTTTATTCCTAAATAACATTTTATCAATAAAGCCTTTATTACGGATTTCTGCTTTCTTACTAAGGTAAAATTAACAGACCGCTAGTAAGCCTCAAGGTGGGAATGAGTAGGCTCATCTTCACAATGCTGCTTACTCCAAGTATTCGGTTATATGGAGTCTATAGCTAATACTATTTTGTACATAATAGTTAGAATAAAACTTGTTCTATTCTGTGTCAGCATGCGTAGGCTGCAAAGAAACAAGCTAAAGGTTTATTCCATACTGAAAAGAGAAGAAAGAAAACACTTCGGCTGTGGAGCCTTCTTCGGGTGTGAGCCGAAACATTGTGTTTCCTTTCTTCTCTTTTCAGAATAAAACTTGTCTGGCTTTATAAATATAGGGGATAGTCAACATAGAATTTAGGCATGGTAGTTCTTGTGTCGAAATTTACATCAATGAAGAAGGAGCTGCACTAATGGATACAAACAAGACAAATTATGTTGTAATATAATTTTACTAATGAGAGTTATTTGACAAATAATCCTAATACACATAAGTAAAAAGATATAAAAACACCACAAACTGACTCTGTAAACCAAAGACTAAAATTAAGTTATAAATTAAATGCTTTATTGAAACGATCTGAGTATGTTTTAAAAATATCAGCATTCATAGATTCTCTAAAGGATTTGAGCATTGATTTCCACAGAAATTGTGGCACACATAGCTAGACTCGGTTGCCCATTATGTGAGAGCCTGTTTTTTTGGCACGGTAAGAAGACTTAAAATTTTCAGATATCAAAGCTGGACTGTAATCATGAAATAAGTTCTTCATTTACCCTGGAGTTAGAGCACTCTAGTTTAGAATTAAATAGGCGAATTTGAAAGTCTACTCTAAATTTCATTGGGTACCACTTTGAAAAGCTGGGAATAACATGCTGATGCTGAGTTCTTTTAGTTAGGTGCACAAGCCACAAAATACTTCACAAACTAAGCATATTTAGTACATTAGAAGGTAACTGAGAGGTCTTATCTTGATTAAATACAATCATTTTTCAATAGTTTAGCATCAGACAGCAGAGCAAGTATATTAAGTGAGCAATGTTTCGAACATGGAAGAAACACCCTTGCTGTGTACCTAATGTACACTTTGAAAAGTAGATAATGGGAGCCTACAGTACATGATGTGGTACAAAGACATCACCTTAGAGTGTTTGTGTTCTGGCAAGATGGGATGGTAATTTATCACATAAATGCATGTTATGCATTTTGTGTATGAAAGAATGTCCAACAACCTTTTATTTTTCTCTTTCAGGCCGTCTCTATGCCATGCAGACAGGAATGAAACTTGACAGTAAAACGCCTGAATGTCGTAAATTTCTAGTGAAGCTAATGGATCAATTGGAGACGGTAAGGCTGTTTGTGGGGGAAAAAAAAACATCCTATTCTTTTGGTTATTCTGACTTATAAAAAGATGGAATGGACTTTTTTGTATCTACTTGGTCTTTTTGACCCCAAAGTTTCATCAAGCAGCTCTTGAAGGATCCCACATGATCCACATTCACAGCACACAACTCTGTGTCAAGAAACGTTTCCTAATCTCAGTCTTGCAACCTACAAAAGCATCCTTTCCTTTTGTGTCCCAGCATGGTTTTGATTAAATAGAAATTGTTTTAGTTGAGCTGGACAAAGGCTTTTCTCGATTTTGAGTAATTCATGGACCTGCTTTAAATAATGTCTGCTTTGTTCTTTCTATACAAAACAGGTCTGTACACCACATTTATAGATTTTTGTCAGGGCAGGGTACAGAAAACAATGTTTTACTGTAAGGAGAAAGAGTTTACCAAAATAAATAAAGCATGAAAACAAGAGCAGTTCATGTAGCCCATCTAGCTTGTGTGGTTTTTGGGCCCTAACCAATGTGATGTTCTTATCAGTCGTAAAGAGTGTTAAGTGTTTGGGTAGTCAGAATGCTACATGCCACTTTTTCAGGTGATGATAGTGTAGAAAGAACTTAAAGATTTTCAACAGTTTGAAAATAAAATTGTGCTTCTATTTATATTTAGTTTGTAAGTTATGTTTTCAGGTACATTTGACCTTTTGTTTGTATTTAATGATATTTTCCTGCTGTGCCTTCCTTCTCTGAAGTCCTTGAATTAATCCCTGTGCTTCCAGTGTTATTTCTACTTGTAGTAACAACAGATTTGTGATAACTAAGTGATTTGATATGTTAACTCCTACAGACATATTCTTCACTAACAAACATAGTACTGTATTCTAAATAGGATCTTATTTGTACATTGTACACTTTTAACTGTATGTACTAAGGTTGTTTGCTATTTTATCATTTCACCTTCATTGTCTATGATATGAAAGTTTCAAAATAAAAATCTCTTTTTTAGTTAGCTTTTCCAAGCTGTTTCCCATTTCGTATTTACCATTGATTTTACAACCTGCAAGTTACACTGTAACACTCATCTGCCACATATTTCACAAGTATTTAACATTTACTTTAATTACATCTAAATAAAAAGGTTACAGATATACCTCAGTTTTCATAAGGGTTACGTTTTGTATAATGTTACTGTACATAAGCCATAATTTACATAAGAACAAACTCTTATACAGTACATTCATACTTACAGCTGTTATTATTACAAAAATAATAACTTTACAGTACTGTAATACACAATGGCAACATTATGAAAATGTACTATGCAGTAGTTTAATATTAAAACTGTGTTCTTGAAAAGTACTTGTATAGTGCTTTTCACAGCATTAGTGCCTTTCATATCACTAGAATGCATTTCACGCTAAAAGGGTAAAACTGCAAATACACAGTGCAAATGCACACATAAAACGCAATGGGAAACGACACTGAGGCTGCACGTAACTTTTTGCCTGAAGTCATATTTATGTAAGTCGGGAACTACCAGTAATTTACCATTTCTAATGGTTGCTTCTCCTGTTTTGGTGTCATCAAACTACTTGACTAGTTAACTTTGCAGGTTCTGAACTGGGGTGGGGAGTGGAGAGGGCACAAGCCCAGAGAACCAGAATCCATTATAGTATAAATGAAGATGAGCTGCTGCCCCAATACAGATACAATACTCCGATAGTGGCATAACCCTAGTTCGAACCAGCAGAATAAAAATGAAAAGAAGAAACTGATTTTTATTTCCAGTTACATTTCCTTTGCACGAAAGTAATCATTTAAGGAACAAATAATAGGTTTATTCCATGCTGAAAAAAAAAGAAGAAAGAAAACACAACGTTTCGGCCGTGGAGCCTTCTTCAGGTGTAAAGCCTGAAGAAGGCTCCACGGCCGAAACGTTGTGTTTTCTTTCTTCTTTTTTTTTCAGCATGGAATAAACCTATTACTTATTCCTTTGCAGCCTACGCATGCTGATGCAGCTACCCACCTGAACAAGTAAACATTTAAGAGATGTACTGCACACATCTTTAGAAAGCAACCCTATGCCTGTATGCATTGAAAGAGTTCCTCCATTATAAATTAGAATTTAATTTCTATTTTATTTCTGACGCACGATACATGGTAGATCTGCATTCTTTTTGTAGATCAAATATATATATTTGATACCTATTATCTGCTATTGCTTTATATAGGAAATCAGTGTTTGTTAAGCCTAAATTAGATGCAATTCAGTATTTTGGCAAGTTCTAATGTCAAAGTGTGAAATAAAGTTTGACCTCAAAGTGATTTCTTTATTATACTTTTTAATTTTTCATTCATGAGCTGTTTGTTACGCATCAAAAGATGTATACTTTTTTAAATTCACCTATAGTTTAAAAATAACAGTTTTGACAATTAAAATAGAAAATATTCCCAAATAAAGGAGTTACTGTACTGTTGGATCTTTTATCTGTACTTGCAAATATTTTGTCATTTCAAATAATCGGGGAAAAATCTTGAGATTAAATGGTTATGGTTTAAATAGCAGGTGAAGCATATCAATTGTTATGCTCATTTGCTGTGATTATGATTTCAACATTTAAAGGGAGTACCTTTAGTGAAAGACATTTTTATTACCATAATTAGACATAATAAGCAATTTCCACCATTTGTACCTCTTGGCAGAATTTCCTTTTGAATGTTCCTTTTTCACATAACAGAAAAAAAGGTTAAGTATTCTGAGACTAAACCCAAAATGCAACTGACTGACTTTCCAGTAATGATTTAAAACTTTCCACATTCATTTTTAATAGCTTTATGTTACTTGTAGTGTTTTGTCTCTACATGGCCTAGAAATATGCAGTTTTAACAGATTCATCCTATAATGTTATACAGTATATGTAGGGCCATTTTATGGAAGACGATAATCCCATTTCGAATGATTGATGGAATGCATCATTGAAACATACTTTATACTTTAAATCCAGAGTGATAATTATATTTTGAAAGCTGTGTGTATATTTCTTTAGAAATCAAGAGTCGCTTCAAACACTAGAACTCTGGTGCCAAAGCTCAGAAAATAAACCATTGGTAATCTTTGTATGAATGCTATGCTTTTGATATTCTGGCAATAAATGTCTTTCTGTCTACACTGCCAGGTACGTGCACTTTAAATGTCCTGACATTTGATTATTTTAAAAGGTGGTATGGTACAGAAATCCTAGGAGATACTGTTTCTTCTTAATAGTAGGGTATGGTACTGCTTTACAAGAAGTTCATTCTATGTCCTGGAAACACCTTAGTGATGTTGTTTTCTTTTCATCCAGTCAGGGAAAAATCTACAATACTGCAAACACAAATCCGGGTTTCTGAATAATTTAAGGTTTACTGCATTGAAGAGAGAAAAAAGGACCACTGCACTTAGTTTTAAATGGGTCCACCGTATCCAATAAAATATCGCTGCACCTTTCATTACTTTTGTTTAATTATTAGAAAACATTCATAATTATTAGGAATTATACAGTAACTCACCAGCATAGTTGTAAAAGTTAATCCGAAATGTATTTTTTGAAAATTTACCTAGGTGCAAATTTTATTTAAAAATGTTTTTATTGATCATAAATGTTTTGATTAGTGCATGCACTTTAATTATATCATGCGTTATTTTCAGGCACACTTCAGAATTAAGCGACATGGATAAGTACGATGTTCTGGATTTTCAAATTGTGACATTAAATGCGCCTTATGTCAGGTGTTAAAAAAGCAGACTAAGAATGCCGGCTATGCAAAAACCAAACCGCAGTGCAAATATTTACTTAAGTCAGAAGAAGTTTATTTTTTAAAAATATTATTTTTCTGTTAGCAAAGTATCCGCTAAATTTTTTCCTTTTTTTATATCTGAATAATGGGCAGTACTGTGCATGGTAATTGCATGTGCACACAATAAAGCCCACAGATCTTACGGTATTTGTAAAACTGGTGGAAATCGTTGTATACATTTTAAAGTAATGCCAATATACCATCATTAGAGCTTTTCTGTGATTCAGCACTCAAGGTTGTTGGCCCTGTGTGCCATGTTGTATTGTGACACTCCTGCTGTAATCCTAAGTGTGTTCACTCTCTCTTTTCCTGATGAAGAGCTGTGACGGTGTTGCACTGTGACTGAGACAGGACAACATTTGTTCCTTTTTTTGCACATAAACATAACATGACACCTACACATAGGTATGCAGTGTTTGCTCTGGATATTTTGTTGTAGTCTTGTCTTAAAAAAACTTTTTGTCTTAGTTTGTCTTAAAAAAAAAAGGATGCAAGGTGTAGCCATTTATAAGGTAATACTGCATCCATGTATAATGTGATATACAAATATGAATTCTCAATTATGCAAGGGCAGAAACGTGTTTATAATTACATAGTCTCTCATATTTGCCCATACTCAATATCTGCCTTCATCTGAACAAGACACTGTCACGTGTTGAAAGAGTGAACTAATGTAGAATGTTATTGCTGATGATTGCCAGAAAAAAGCACAATTGTTACTAAGTGTGCTACAGACTTTTATATCTCCAGTACATTATTAAAAGGAATGTGCATTTAATTGCAGCAGTTTAGAGATTTTTCATCTTTTAGTGTTTAGTGCTTTAATTATCTGGACAATACTTTTTATTCTTCATTTCTTTTATCATAAAAGGCTATTTAAGCAGTTGTACATTGTAGCATGATTAGTTAATGAACTGGAGTTACAGTGTCGTGCAATTGTCTTGGAACATCAAAGTCAAAACTTAATTTTTTGCTGTTCAGTTAAGAAATTTATAGTAGTTATCATTAAATTAATATGGGTGTTAAATACAATATACAATTTATTTTGGGCAGTTCCATTCAGTTATGTTAAATTGCCTATGAATTTGTTTACACCTTGGATTACATAGAAGATTTTTTATTCTGTTTCAGTTAATCATTTTCATTGCAAAAATTTTGATTTAGTACAGCATTTGTA